CCTACAGGCCTGTGGAAGTTACCACTTTTCCCTGTCTTCTTGGTGTGATGGTTATTATTTTCCAAACAAATTAAAAGATTTAAAAAATGCAGATGTTCTCCTCCTCATTCTGTTTTTATGTTGCTGATTCTAGGTATGTGAATATCCAGATGGAACCAAGTCTTTGAAGCTAGGAGACTTTGGACTGGCAACTGTGGTTGAAGGACCTTTATATACTGTCTGTGGTACACCCACATATGTGGCTCCAGAAATCATTGCAGAGACAGGGTGAGGATGACTAAGACGTAGGTCTTGTAACCAGTTATTTTTGGCAGATAGCTGCTAACTGTTGTAAGAACTAGATAATAGGATGGTCCTCCTTCTTTTTGTAACCAAACCACCTAGGAGAAAACAGGCATCATTCAGTTCCTCAAAGAGGCCAGTTTCCTCACTCACCCTGCTCCCAGGATTCACCTTCGCCTCCTTACCATCTCCCTGGGACCAGCGCTGATGCAGTGGAGTTTGTTAGTTTGTGTTCCCTGCCTCACCTCACCATTCAGAGCCCATTGTACCTGCTATGGCACCTGCTAGGGGAAAAACGGACAAACAAAACACTTTTCTAACATTTCATGTCAGAAATGGAGTTATTTATATTGGAAGAGACTCCAGAGGTCACCTAATCTAAACCTGTTCTCGGAGCAGGCCTAATTGCATCATGTTAATTCAAGTGACCTTGTTTGGGTGACGCATGCTACTTGATAACTGTTGCTTTAATCAAACAACCCCATTTTTCTGCGTTTAACAGGTGGTTGCATAAATATAAAATACTTTTGTGAAATGGTAGAATTTCAAAGGTCGTCTTTCCTTTTAGACTTATTAGACCTCCATTCCATGCTGACTGGTGCCACAGCTGACCATTCTGAATTTGGTCTTCCTAATGGAGGGAGGTTTGTTGTATTGTTTCAAGCATTGTTCAGTGCATTTGTCATATCGAGAAATATTTCACAGCTGCAGTGAGCTCAAAAGTCAAAGGGCAGTTCGTCTGCATGTTTTAGGTTTTGACAAACTGAATCAACTTGATAGAAAAGAATAGGGAAAAAGACCTCTTTTTGACCTCTAGTGTTTTAATTTCTGTGCTTTAAAAGAAGAGTGCAGTTCTTTTTCCCTGTGTTACTCACTCAAGAGACTGGAGAATTGGTATCTTTCTTGTCGCTTAGCAACATATGATAACCTTAGAGATAGTTACTCCAGAACGGGGACTGAGAAAGCACATCCTTGTCTTTTATCATTAGTGATTCTGGATTGGGAAACCTTGATACTGAATTGAACCTGAGTATATTCAGAAGACCCTGGAGACCCTCGAGACTTATGAAAAAAAAAAAAAATCAATGAAAAATGATGTTATCACAGTTCCTTAAAGACTGTGGAGGATGCTCAGTAAAATGATGCTTAGGTACAAAATACATTTCCATGTCATCAGCAAGTAACTTAGAACAGATCCTCAATATATAGTCATGTAAATGTAATCAATTGTTTGATTGGAGTGACTTTTTTTTAAACCCAGCACAAGTAACAGAGTCTTTTTTTCTCAGGTATGGCTTAAAGGTGGATATTTGGGCTGCAGGTGTGATCACATACATATTATTATGTGGATTTCCACCTTTTCGCAGGTGAGCGTCCCTGTATGTTGAAGGGAAAAATAGTAAAGAACCAAATCCTTTCTGAGTAGGTCTTACCTATCTCCCTGAAGGAAAGGCATCCTGGGGGAAAAAAAAAAAGATTGATTAGATCGACACTTTTAACTTTTTTGTTCTTCTTTTTAAATCGTTTTCACTTGTCTCTCTTGTCAGCTTTTGGGATCAATTTTATTTACTTATTTTTCTAAGGGAGCAAGTGGTTTACTGCTGTGTGCAGGGATATGGTGGCCTGAGGGCATAGTTTCTTTTCCTTTTGTCTGCGAGGTGTATCCCAGTTTAATGAACGTGTATACTTTGCCCTCTAGTGTTTCTGTTTGGACACAGCAGCTTACTGGTTTGTAGTGTTGAATCATAGAATAGTTTGGTTGAAGGGGCCTTTGAAGGTCATCTAGTCTAGCCTCCCTGCAATAAGCAGGGACCAACTAGACCAGGTTGCTCAGAGCCTCATCCAACCTGACCTGGAATGTCTCCAGGGATGGGGCATCTACCACCTCTCTGGGCAACCTGTTCCAGGGTTTCACCACCCTCGTTGTAAAAAATTTCTTCCGTCTATCTAGTCTAAACCTACCGTCTTTTAGTTTAAAACCGTTTTTAGGCCCTGCTAAAAACTCCGTCCCCATCTTTCTCATAAGCCCTCTTTAATTAGTGGGAGGCTGCAATAATGTCTCCCCAGAGCCTTCTCTTCTCCAGGCTGAACAACCACAACTCTCTCAGCCTGTCCTCAGAGGAGAGGGTTTGCGTCCCCCTGATCATTTTTGTGGCCCTCCTCTGGACCCGCTCCAACAGGTCCATGTCTTTCCTGTGCTGAGGGCTGCAGAGCTGGATGCAGGACTCCAGGTGGGGTCTCAGCAGAGCAGAGGGGCGGAATCCCCTCCCTTGACCTGCGGGCCATGCTGCTTCTGATGCAGCCCAGGATGTGGTTCGCCTTCTGGGCTGCCAGCGCACAGTTGAGGGTGAAGGTTGATGGTAAACTGCATTTTTAACCTTGTTAATCTTTTTGATAAGTGCCATATGGCTGTGCAGTTTCTATTCCAGTGGAAGTCCTTTCACCCCTCTATATATTTTTCACCTCAAATATATATAGTGTTTTCTGTTCTCACGCCTGACTGTAACTGTGGCAAACACCTCAGAAGTGCTACCACTTGCAAATTAGGCATTTATAGTAGTTGATGTAACATCATTTCTGTTCCATCTGCAAATCAAGTTAAAAATTCACATGACAAATTCACTTCTTTCTCATGATCTTTTTCATTACTGCTGTTCTACAGTGAAAACAACCTTCAGGAAGACCTCTTTGATCAGATACTTGTTGGGAAGCTGGAATTTCCTTCTCCCTACTGGGATAACATCACTGATTCAGCCAAGGTACTGATATGTTTTCCAACCTGAAATAGTGCTTCTGACAAGCCACTGAAAAGACTGTGCTCTGTTGTAAAGGCAGAAGATTCAGAACAGACTCTTACCCAGTCTTCCAGATGCTGTGCCTGTTTAGTTAGCTTAACAGGGACTGATGAAAGATGAGGTTTTTCAAGCCATCTACTGCCTGAGTAAGTAAGTGGAGCAGAATGCCAGTTGCATACTATTCAGTTTACTTAATGACAGCCTATTAGAGCAGGTTCAGTGCTTCAGCTGTAAAATAAGTGCTCTCTGAATTTTTCCCTCTTATCACTCTTCTAAAAAGAAAAATTATGGCTATGAGGACTGATGCAATTGACATCATTTGTTCCTATTTTATCTGAGCCAGTTATAGGAACTTTTCAAGAGGTGCAGCCAGCTTGATTTGCCATTGCTAATAGTTATTGTGTTATCATTGCCACTTGTGTTTAAAATGATTGTGCCTGTAGGGCAAAGGTTCCAGCTTTTAAGCCCCACTTTGCAAGCTAATTCAGTAACATGCTCTGAATGATATCTGAGGACTTTAATTAGCACCCAGAAGTTGCATTTTTTCTGCATTTCCCAATGGCTGTTTATCCATTTGCCAACATTTCCAAAGCTCCAGTCATCTCACACTGTTCCAGACATGCATTCTGAACAAGCAAGGCCTTCACTCTTGGTACTGAAGGTGACCTTTCACTTCAGACTTACACAGACTAAGTAACTTGGCTGGTTGGGAAACCTCTCAGGTGTATTATTATCATCTCCTTGAATGTCATTTCCCAAAACTGAAGTGATGAACAATCTCTTTGAAATATGCTTGATAAGATTATGAAGACTGACAATTTGGAGGCTATAAAAGTTTTTTGAGGGGACATCTCGCTCAAAGTTCATGAAGTCGTTCATTTGGGAGGGGGACATATTTATCTTAATAGGCTTGTAGAACTAGGAATTATACCAGTAAACTAGTTTTTAGTTGCCTAAAAAGAAACCAGAATGAATAAACAACTGAAAAAAGGTGATTTGGGTTTTTTTAAATTTTATTTTATTTTACTGACTCAAACTTTATCATATCTGTAGGCACTGTTAACAGAAGGCCCATGGAAGTACTTGATAAAGCTAAAGGCACCTGCTCTAGTGCCTCTAAAATATGATGAAAGCCACAATTCTCCTGATTGTATGGTTAATCCCAAAAGACTGGTATTAAGAATTTTTCTATCTATCTGTTTTTTCTTATACCAGATGATCCTTAGCTGATGAAGTAAGTTGTTTATTCTTCTGGAGCAACACAGAGGAGAACATAGTTTTCAAATAATTTCGGCAGTTTCTTGAATATCAGACGCAGTTTCTTGCCTCTGACTTGTGCTCATGTGCATGTACACTGCCCATAGAGGATCTCATCTGTCCTAGGTTTGTTTTCGTTCTGGGGGGTCACCTGCATAAAAATATATATAGAACAAACTGGAACATTATAGCTGATTTTTTTTTTTAACATGTGCTTTTCATCTGGTTTCAAAAGACGGTGAACATGAATACAATAAGGAAGTTGATATGAAATATGTTGCCCAGCATACTCTTAAACCCAAAGGACAAATATTTTGTTCCACTAAACCCAAATTTTTTTTGTTCACATTGGTATCAGTGTAAGCTGGTTTGTTCCATTCACCCAGGTAGCAAGAAAATTGCACTGAGAAGAACTTGGTACAACAATATTTTCCATCATAATATCCTTCTCCCCACCTTCCTCACTCTTTTTTCTTTGTCTTTTTTTTTAATAAAGGAGTTAATTAGCCTGATGTTACATGTGAATGCTGAAGCCCGATACACAGCAGCACAGATCCTAAGCCATCCCTGGGTGTCAGTGAGTAAATTACATTTTACTTGTCTCTAATTTGATATTAAATCTGTAAATGTGACCATTAAGGTGTAGTTTTCAGAAGCTTTCAGAAGCAGCAATACACTTCTATGCCCGTTTCTGTTTGTTGAACCACTAGTCCCATTTCCCCATAGAAGAGAACAGTGAGAGTCTGAAATTAGCTTCAGCTCTGACAGTACTGTTTCCTTTCAGAGCACAGAACCTTAGAGTGAGGGTATCACTTGCTGACTGCAAGACTAGAGGGTGCTGGAGGTTTCTATAACCCTGCTTAAACATAATATAACAGGCAGCTGTGTGACTTGAGCATCTTTTTTGTTATTTTACATTCAACCTAGAAAACTGTCATCTCAAAAATGTATATGTGGAAGCACTGTTGTGCATGTTGGCATCTTACTTGCTGCAATGCTACTTAAAGTATGAGCTCCAGTTTTTTGAAGCACTTCAAGCTTCATAAGAGAAATAAAATTAACAAATATAAAGTACCTAATTTAACACAGGCACTAAGCTGATGGCTGCTGGGTCCTTCATCTTTTTGGGCAGCAGCAATGGGGAACACTAAAGTATATTGCTTGTTGATTTAAAACCAGTTCAATTATTAATAAATACTAGGTGTGCATGTACATAACCAATGTTTACTTCCACCCACATTTTAAGAGGAACTGAATATGATCTGTGGAGTTCCCTCAAACAAGAGAAGACAACTATAATAATTGTGTCTATGCATAACAGCTCCTCTGAAACACATTTATGGTACTGTATAATGTTTCCACACTTAGCACATGATGGACCATGTAAAATGCTGATTTAAAAGAAAGTCAAATGACAAATATGCTTGTTATTTTTAACATGCTTGAATCAAACTTTTGCAGCTTATAATTGCAGGACAAATCAATGGACTGAAAGTATACAGCGTCACACAGCATTTTAAGAAGTAGAATTTCATACATAAATAGTGGTTGCTATGTTCCTTTCCTCTGTAATTTGTCTTAACCCTGTATCTCATGTCAGAGAGTGCATTCACTTTTGGGCTGCCTGTCTAAATGCTTACTTCACATTAAAAAGCAGCAAGTACCTGAGGATAACAGAAAACTTCTCTTTTACTCAGTTACATTCAAATATCCTTTTGGTTTTTCCGAATTTGAATAGTATGTTTATTCTTATACAGGATGATGCTTCCCAGGAGAATAATATGCAAGCTGAAGTAACAGGTAAACTGAAGCAGCACTTTAATAACAGCCTACCCAAGCAAAATAACACATCTGCTGGGGTTTCTGTCATCATGGTAAGAGAAACGAACATGTGTACATTGATATTACACTTTGCATATTTTCTTAACAGTGCTCTATGAGCATGTGTGGTGCAAGAATAGCAAAAGCAAAGCTAGAATAGTCTCTAATTCCAGTCTTTATTTATGTATAGTGTTGATTGTCCCATCGCTTGAGAGCAACTGAGTCTATCACAGTGTTCTAGCTAAGCTATAAAAACAAGCTTTCAAACAGAAACACGTAAATACTAAGTAGTTGTTTGTTGAAATGAAGCTTATTAATGATTTGAAATCCTTCATTATAAAAATTGTAATTTGTTTATCATGCTGACCACCTGGTTAGTTAAATAGGCTCTTCCCCTCTGCCCAACCAAGTATTGCTTGATCTTGAGCATACTGTTGTTCAACACTACACTTGCCAGGAAACCAGACTCCTTTTCAGAAGTGTTCTTCGTAGTATTGAATGTTTACCACATTAATTTTGTCCCAGTCCAACCCCTGCAATGTTTTTTGTTCCCTAAGGGGGAACTTTCTTCAAAGCATACAAAGGAACCCTGATGACCTATATAGCTGAGCTTGCATAAACAGTAATTCCAGAAGGCAGATGTGTGAATCATGGTAGAAGAAAAGGAGTTTACTCTTAACAGTACTCAGAACTGCACCTGGAACTGACCAGTCACTTCTGCAGAGAATGTGCAGATTATCAATCTCTGTAGAGATTGAACTGCCATGCTGTACTTATTGTGGTCCATTCTTGTCTAATGCAAGGATGGACACTGTGCACAGAGAGTAGCTTCAGTTACTAAAAGAAAAATAAAGCCATCGATAGTAGTAACATAACAGTGATTTCCACCTCCACGCCGTTGGTATTAATTACTCTCCAAGGCCAGCCCACTTACATTAACAAAGAATTTGTTTTAATCTGAAAGTAGGTAAATTTAAATAATGTTTCTGCATACATATATGCTTTTGCAAATACATTTATGTGAATTAAATAGGCCAAAGATTTAAATGTAGGAAAAGTGGTAAAATAAAAATGAGAGAAGTCAGAAAATGGATTTCAGGTTCATGCTGTTGTCTGCATTTCATTTGACAGTTTGACTTGACAGTTTGAGAGGGACTTCAGAGCTTCATTCTTTATACTGTTGAGACTATGGATAAGCCTGAAGCTGAAAACTGGTATAAAATGCACTATATGTAATAATAAATAATTTTAATTCTAACTCTCAGCCCCTCTCCAACTTGCATGCCACTTAAGCCTGTCTCAGATCTCTGACACAGCGTAGCTTCTGGCTTCTTATCGGTGTGGGTTTTTCCTGATTCTGTTAGCTACTGACATTCCTTCAGCCAGGGAAGTACAGCTCGTTAAAACTTTCCATTTTCCCTTTTCCTGCCTTATTTCCTTCTAACAGGTATGGAAAGATGTAAATGCATAAAATTACAGATTTCTGAAGGCAGCTCCCCATTATTCCTGAAGGGAAAAGTAACTCCTTATTCAAAACACTGTAATCTAATGAGGGTTAAGTCCCCAATTTGTTATTCTTGCCCTGGTTTATCTAGAGCATTAAAATTTAGTTATCTTCATGTTAAAAAGTTCTTTACCTGTACCAGCACACATTGCTTAAAAACATTCAGATTCAGACAAGCACCATATGGTAATTCTCATGCATTGCTCTATCAGGCCACCTGCATATTTAATGGAATCCCTTTTAGCATCACTTCATTAAAATATTGTCATCTGGCCAATGCTGATAATACCATCATGTGGCAGATAAGTAAAACTGCACATACCTACTTCAGTGTTCTTGCACAGGAGACTCTTTCTGTCCCTAAAAGCATGTTGCTGTTAATTCGTTACTGATTTTCTTGGTCAATTTCAAAATGTTCTGTACATCTAAATTTGTTGCAATTGTGTTAGTTCTGCTTAAAGTAAGTCTAGTTTCTGTCCCTTGTTCCTCCTTTCCCAATGCCTGCATTGCTTTCCTCTGAGTAGGTCCAAGGCAATGGTACGTACTAACTGCGATGCTTTGTTCTGCGGCACAAAAAAAAAATACGTCCTCCATTTTTAACAAGAAAAAAGGAGAAATAACTCAGCCAGTCTGAAGTGGAAAGAGCTTTACAGCCACACAAAAACAGTAACGGAAAATCTTTTAAACACTTACAAAAAAGTTTTCCATGCTAAGTGATGCATATTTGAAATATTCTGAGCAAACAGTGATACAACTAGCTATTTTTTACTTCCTCAGACATATCTTGGTCTATTCCCCTGGAAGTACTTTTGTGGATGTGTGTATCTTACAATACCCAGAAGCAATCTCATAGCTTAGAAAAAGTGGGACTCCTATGAAGAGAGAACAAAAAAACCCCCAAAACTACTGAAATAAGCATTGTTTCCATTTAAAATAAAAATTTCACTTCAGCCTTTATGGTATCACAGAGCTAGTCAGAAGGTAATCAATCCTAAATTAATAAAAAACATTCTTACTTATCAACAGTAAAATTAAGTAAGTCTCCTCTTCGATCTCTAAAAAACAAAAAATCCCAAATAGCATTATTGCTATGTGCAACTATCAGAGGCTGCTGAGAGGGCAGCACAGGAAAAAATCACCGTCAGCATGAACTGAAAACATTTCCTTTCCCTTTTAAATAACTTATCCTGCCACTGAAAGAGCAGAAACCTGTTTATTCACAACTCTCTTTTCCAGCAAGCAAAAGAGGAAATGCAATCCTGCCAGCATAGCAGCTGCTTTGATAATGATAAAACTACTGCACATCAGAGCTAATCTCAAAGCCTAGATACAGTTCAGCAAGTCATTTCCTTGCATGCTCCATTTTGCAAAGTCGATTGTTAGTAGCAGAGAATTCAACTGTGTACTATTGAATTTTCTCTTCGTAACCTGTATGCATGTAGACTAATGTCGTAACTCGATTAAAAACGAAAACACTCTAAATTCAAAATACTTAACCTTTTCTTTTGGGAACTTTTATATTCAGCACCTTGGACTGAAAAAGCTTGGCAGGAAGGCCTTACGGGGAGGAGGGGTATCATGAGGCTGCTTGCTAACCTCCCCTGCCCCAGCACGCGACCACATCATACAAAATGGAATAGTTTCCGCAGGAGAGTCTGAGTGAAACTGATCCCAGAACAACCCACTGTCCATATACCTGCAAATTATAAAAGTCTTCCATTTGAGAAATCAGAGATACTAGTCCAGCTCTCTTTGACAAGTCAGGTAAAAGAGAAATTTGAATTCAGGTACTCCGTAATGAAATAAGGAAGTTTTCAATACCAAGCTATTTGGAAAAAGGAGGGTAAGTACGTACCTTATTTCTGCTGTCCTTGATGACTTTGATGCAATAAACCACATCTGAAAAAAAAAGAAAAACCAAAACCCAAGCTAAATTTAACTTGTATCCAAAAATTATTTTTGTATCTATAACTACATCTTTTAGTGAATAGTGTATTAGACAAACTCCACTAAGAATACATAGAAACTTTCACATAAGTAAAGCAAGTCCTCCCAAGCAATCAATCAAAAAAATAAATTGTTAAAGAAAAGGTAGAGCGCCTGACCTGACTTTACAGTTAGCACATGCCAGCTCAGAATATGAAGTGCCGCGTAACAGTGTCGCATAATGCTTACACATACATATGCAGGAGGTGCCACAAAGGTGAAACATGTATTTGTGCTCTGCTTCTCAGTTCGTGTCACACATTTGTGGATTACTGTAGAAAGCCCAAGCTGTACGTGACCAGAGTAAGTGTACCTTGCACCATTGTACATAACTGAATAAACTACAAAGAACTAACTTACGTACTCTGTATTAACTTAAATCTGCATTACCACTGGTACTTGAAGGTCTTCCACAAAGTAGGTAGTTAAGCCAAGAAGTATATGGGATTTATAATGATCAGTATCAGCCTTCATACTGGCAAACAAGACCAATTACGCTGTCCCTCCAAGTCTTAGAAAGCGATTTGGATGTATATTTTTGACACGGAAACTACCAGATTTCCCTCTAGGTCACTTTAGACATTCCGGTAGCAATTGAACATCGCACTGTGGTTTAATACAGCTTTGCAGTATCCTTCAGAGGGTATGAAAGCTGTCGGCTTCAGCAGACGCACCACATACATACATACGCCAGATAACCCACCTACTGCACTCTGGACTTCTCAGTTTTCATTCTGCTACTCTCTTCTCCAGTAAACTGATTATTAAGTATAGTATTCAGAAATTACGCATTTTTGCCACCATGTCAGCTTCATGAGAGGTCATTTGCGTACTCTCAACAATGAGCAGAAAAGTAGACCCTTTTCTTTAAGATATAAAAAAGGGTTAGGATTTCACCTGTCACCTTCACAGGTGCACTTCTGTACGATGTGGTTTGTTACAGAAAATGTATTAAGTTCTTACTAAGCATCTTTGATTCCTTGTGTCTGCAAAAACACAGGTACATACATTTTGCTAATAACTAGTATGAAGAGTTCCTGCCGTGTCATGTCCCCTCATGTCATTTTTTTTTTCCACATCAGACTTGCAAGACAAAATTTTAAACTTGCACCATCATGGCAAACATGTCTGGAGGATAAATTTTTCTGATGTTTTCAAAGTCAGCACCACAAAACAGTACATTATCTATAAGATTTCTAATGTTATTTCTCCTTTTTTTCTGGCTCTAATGCATGCACTTAACGTCTTGTAAATTGTTCTAACCCTTAAGACAGGGCTTTGATTTAACTGCTCTTTTCATATTTTGCCTTGGTTTTTTTGTTTTGTTTTTAGAACACAGCTCTAGATAAAGAGAGTCAGATTTTCTGCAGCAAGCGCTGTCAGGACTCTGGTAGAGCTGGAATGGAGCAAATTTCTGCAATTACTGCTGCAGCTGATGATCCTCGTGTGGCTGGGTCCAAGACCCTCTTCCCTGCTGCTTCTGAGCCGCTCGGATGCCCCACGCTCCCTGCCTCAGTGTCTCCCTGAGGCTGGGGATCAGCCTGGTGCGTAGGACTGATGAAACCAAATCTAACTGAAGCTCCCTGCACTCCCGCCACCATTTCTCTTCATTTCACGCGACGGTTTGTTTTCAGTTTGCGTGCACCCTCTCGTGGCGAGCCCAAGGCAGGCTCTGTCACGGGAGACTGATCTTCTAATCGTGGGTGAGTGAACGTGCATTTTGAGTGCTCTTTGCCCTTGTCCCGAGAGCAGCAGTAAGGGAAGGATTCTGGCAACATTAGATGATTTTTAAGTTATCTGTGTTAGTTTCATTAACTGCATTTCACACAGTCTTGGGCTCTAAATAGACTAACTTATTGTGTAGCTAACCATATTTTTGTAAGAGCAGTGAGATGATGGACAGTTATCTGGCCTCACCTCTACAAGCCGGCCCTATTCTGTTTGTCTGATGAGGATTCTCAAAAAAGTAGGAGAGAAAGACAAGGGAAGCAACCTTATATTCACCTTCTATTCCGATGCCTCCCATTTTTAGCCAAGTTTAGTAGAAACTTGAAGAGGCAAATTTTCACAAGATTTTTTTTTAGTGGACTAACTGTAAAATATCATGAGACAAACACTGGAGATAGAGGGAAGGATGGTCATTTTTGCATCAAGTTTGTTATCGGACTTGCAGACTGCAGGCTAGTGTTTAGAAAATACGAATTTAAATAAAGTGACTTGGGATGTAAACATGAGCACTGGACATTTTTTTTGTAACGAAGACCAGAGTCAAGGAAGCCTTTTTGTTCTAGCCATTTTCTGTCCTAACCACAAGTGTCCCATCCACACCTTTCCCCACGGTCAGACTACCTATTAAGACAAAATATGACGCCTTTGGACCTGCGAACAGAAAGCCTGCTGCATGTTATCTAAGCTAGGATGAATGGAGCAGTTACTAGTTCTAGGGTGAGCTGACAGAGGAGCTACTACAAGTAGGTGCCATCAATAGCTGTCAGAGATTTGTCAGTGCTGTCCCCCTCTTCACCTGGTGCAGGCACTGGAAACAAGGATTGGGGAGCAGCTATCCTTAATCTGCAGCCAGATAGATGAGGTTCTATCTTTACCATAATGCTTAGTTTAATATAGTATGTATTCAGCTTATTCTTTTCCTTTGCTCGTTCTTACGAATTGGTCATAGTTCATTTTCTTTCTTAGCTATACTTTTTACTAGAATTGTAAAAGACAGACCTGCAATAAACTTCCTTCATTAAAAAAAAAAAAGTCTTCATTTCTTTGAGAACTCAGTTATTTTGTCAGTGAAAATGCCATCTTACTCTCTCTGGAGAGATTGAACAGTTAGATACCAAAAAATGTCATAAAATTAATCTGAGGGATTCCCATAACCTTTTAAAGTTCATCAACTCCTATGGAAGATGTAGGTAATACATGACTGAACATGGGTATTCTATCTTTTGAAGAGGCAATTAAAGATCAAAAAGTGCCAACTGGTAACTTAAGGTAAAGCTGAAAGATGTTCAGCATCTTGGCAAAAAAAAAAAAAAAAGAGTAGTAAAGGTATGAAAATATATTATATATCTTAAACTATGATAAAAAAGTTGGGCTACAACCAGTCATTGTGAATTAACTTTGCTATGGGTTCACTGGAGTAAGTTCCAAGATATTTGGAGAATACGGGAATGACCTTTGTATAAAATCATGTACTTAATTATACATAATTAAAATTATGTACAAAATTACCTATTTTGACAGAGAGCAAAAATGTGAAGATAACACTCTAACCTTACTCAGAACAGAAACTAGCGAGAGTCCGTTAGCTAGCCGTGTGTGCACTTGGTAAAATCTGTAACAAGTCTTAGACTAAGCTAAAGAAAGGATGCGTAATCTCAGATGGAGCGGGCTAACCAGCCACCTACAGCAAGCAAAGGGAGCCCCCGAGAGGTAAGACAGCAACAGGCTACTGAATCGGGAGATTAGTAAAGAGGAAGCAGCAACAAAGTGATGAACACTGGGTTGAGTTCTGTTTTTTTTCTAAGAGGATGGATATTCAGCTGTGCAAGGCCTAGATATTTACGAAGAAAAAACTGTCATGGATTAGCAGAGATCTCTAACAAGTTTTCTCCGCAAAACCATATGCATATATAGAAGAAAGGATGATAATTTGCCTGGTAAACAGCTGCCAGATCGAAACTATTACTTCATCTCATGGAAGTAGAGACGTACATACCCTGAATTCATGTCCTACGTTCGTTACTGATCAACGTCTAAACATTCTTAGACAAGTACTTTGATTCACAGAGCAGCAGAAGCAGTTGATAGACTATGCCGAAACACCTATTTAAAAATAGTGACAACAGCTGGAAAAGGTGATCACGTGGCCAACGTAATCGGATAAAAACATGGGCTAGCTAGGCAAGTTCTTAACTCCATCTATGACCTTAGGAAAGTTGTATCATTACTCTGTGACTTAATTTAGTTCCACAGATGTTAAATCTGGGGGTGCATAGGTGGTATGTTTGTGCTGCTCAGGGTATCACAGTTTAACAGAAAAATAAAGACCTGTTGGTTAACACTAAAACACTTAGTGAAGGCTCACAGTTATTATGTTTCATTTGTTACCTACTGCTCTTTCATTTAATCCTTCTCTTTGTAGAACCGTCAGTTGCTGGAAGAAGGCAAAAATTGAAAATAAATTGTAAAACAGAACTATACTACCTGCTACTAAGGGAAAGAAATGACTATAGAAACTGTAAACTCAAGTTATACGTTTGTCAAAGAGGACTGTCGCCTTTTTTGTTTCTCAAAAGTAGCTGAAATTCATGTACCATACTGATTAAATGTCATTTTTTTCAAAGACTCAACAGTAACAGCACAACCACTACCATGCCTACATTTTAAAAATAAGTCTTTTTAAAAAGCCCCAGTCTTTTTAGCTCTTTGAACATGAGTAGTTGTTCATATATCCAATTGGAGCCAATTCCTGCAGTTCTAGATTTGAAATCCCAGAACTGAATCTTCCCCTGCTCTAAGTCAGCATAACACTACGTTCACCGAGATTCCCATCAAAATTTACCCTTACAGATAACCCCCCCCATTCATGAACCCCCCCCCCCCCCCCCAACCTAAATACTTGAGGAAGAGTAGCTCGGAGGAAGTAACGACTAAAACTAAAAGACTACAGGGTAATTTTTCATAATTAAATAAATAATTGTTTTTTCTTTTTAAATATATAAATTAATTATTTATGTAAGATACCATGAAGTATTTTTAACCTCCTCCTTACTCCAAATTTACCCTTTCTTTCCTCCTGCATTTTTATTATTTTTTTTAATAAACCAAACCAAAACAAAACGCAGGCTTTTCTACTGTAGTAGAGTGCACACAGCGCACTGGACTTCAGAACAAAAAGCGTGAAGCACTTTTTGAGCTGGGGAAGTTCAGTCTTCTAGTTCAGGGAAAAAGGTCTCCTAAGACCTTGCTAACCTCTCTCAGTAACAGAGGTACGGGGTGAGAAGACTACGGCAACAACAGTAACTTCCGCAAATAACATCCACTGCCATCTTCGTGCTCTATGCTCGGAGATCACACTGTATGTGTATATGTTAGCGACTGCCACAACACACGACAGAAGCGATCCGGCATCCTTCGGGGGTGCCAGACGCTTCCCGTTACCTCTCAGAGGGCCCTGGTGAGACTGGAGACACGCCAGCGCCCTGGCGTGCGTCAAGGCGAGCAGAAGCAACATCCTGTGTGGCATTTCCAACAGGGAACTCACAGCTTTGGTCTTGAAAATGAGAAAACTCTCATTTTTCTGGTCTACTTGAAATAAAAAAGAAAGTTAGCTAGGAAGCATTAACTTGATACACCACTGCCTGTACGCTCCCCAAAAAGGGGTTCAAATTCCTATTCACAGAAATGGTTTTGATCATCTCAGGTTAAACCAGTAAGTTTATGCAGCAAGTGGGACATTTTTATTTTCAAAGTGTCATTTAAGCGTGGTTTTCATATCTTTCTTCCTCCTAGTAGTCACTGCTCTACCTATTACAGATCAATGGAGTAAATTTACTGAAATATTTATTCACTTTTATATAAAATAGACATATTTATCAATTACCTTTGTTTTCAACAGTTTGAAAATGGGAAGTGATGTTTCACATTTACTCATTTCTTTCAAGCTACGTTCAAACAGCAATTGGAAAGCAACAGAAAAGCACAAAACTAATAACCTATTTGAAATGCTGGTTAAATAAAACTGATTTTTTTAAAGATTAAAAAAAGGCAAGCAAATCAAACACTTCTACGGCAATCACTTTCAATGTATACAAATAGGTATCTAGTTGAGCTTTTCTGTCAGAGGAATCCTTTGTAGGCGCATTTTTGTTTTGTTTTTAAACTAAATTAGCATTGTAAAAAAATACCAGGGCAAGGACTGAAAAAGCAAGCTGCCATGCAGCCATCCACCAAGAAGTTTTTCCTCAGCTGTTGCTTCTGTTTTTGATTTGGTTTCAAACAGCATTGGAATTTTAAGTGCCTTTGTCATATTTGGAAACAGAAAGCTCAGAGTAAGAATTGTGTAAAATGCAGGTTTCAGAGAAGCACAGCCTCATCAGGAAGTACCAGCAACTATTTCCTTCTCCCCAAAATAATATTTGCCAACTAATACGAGATACTGAAGTTACTGAAGTTTAGTTCAGTGTTTAAACACTAACGCATAAAGTTTCAACACTCTGCTTAAAAAGACACTAGTAGTCCCATAGTTTAGAACGGTCAGATTTTGGTTTTGTAGCTATGTGCTTGCTTGAAAAAGGATCCCTAGCACAGGGTATCAAGAGAAAGAGCATAATGCGAGAGCAATCTGCAAAGGCATCTGTCTATTATTGGGTGTACCTCTTGCTGAATATACCAGATTCTAAGCACAAAACTAGACTCAGTTGTGCTACAGCATTTTGCAGCTCAGAGCTCACAATACACAGTGAACAAAGAACAGTGGGAAGAAAAAAGTTAAAAGAACTTGAAGAAAATTGTAAATTATATCTCAATTTTTTTCCATTTAGCAAGTACCACAGTTTGAAAACCTCTTTTTGTCTATTCCCATGCAATACAGCATAATTTCCAAAGCATACCTCTAAATGTCTTTCATTAGTTGACTATATGATTCAGTCCCAAGTACGAAGTTGTATGTAATCTCAGATTTTACAAAATACACAAATCTCTCCGGTTTCAAGACTATGCTTTCCGATACTATCTCAATTAATTTACAAGAAAGTAGTTGTATTTCCCATAATTTATAAAAAGTTGTGAAATATTTTACATACTCTTTATAATAAGATACTTCATTGTAATAATAAGTCTCAACTAAAAATGAACTACTTATAGGTACAATTTAGAATTTGTTTTTTCAACTTTGCTTCATGTTTTAATCCATTTTTTCCCTCATGAGACTGGCTGTATTTGAATTGCAGAGCTTTAGGTTACATGTAGTTGAACTTCAGTAAATCTAAACAAAATCAGAAACCATTTCCTACAGTTTTTGATGCAGAGCTTTTAAAGAGCAGCTTTAAATTATGATGCATAAGTACAGACATGCATCATTAACTGTATTAGTTTACTGAGATCTTAGGTTGGTTCTGCATTAAACTAAACTATTTTGGATTTTATGTAATGTTGTATCATGTGGGAAATCCAAGAGAATGACTTCTCTCAAGATTTACACAAATATCCTGACTCTATATGGGAAAGGTCTCAGGGGTTTAGAGCAGCACCCACAGAATGGTCCATCTCTGATTTTATTTAACTAGGATGCAGCCAGTTTCTCAAGAACAATATAGTCATCTTTTATTCCCTTTGAATGACTTACAAGTATAAAAGAAAGGGAAAGCAAAACAGACACACCATAACAGAAGAACACTTAAATCTCTGTCAATATGAAACTTAGTACATCAAATGAAAAAGCTACAATTTAGATAGTCACTATATCTAGGCCATTCTTATTCAATATATCTAGTAGCAATTATGTCCTACTAAATTTGCAGCAATATTGATTTCCCACAGAAGTCCCAGTTTTGAATTTGCTTTTGGTACTAAAAGAAATGCAAATAATTTTTTGTTCCAGGACACTGGCTCTGTTTGAAAAACATGGGTTGGGTTTTTGTTGCTGCTGTTCAGGTATGTGAAATACGAAGAAACTCCAACTGTTCTTAATCCCCAGCCTGATCCCACACATTGAAAGTACTGCAGCAAAGGTCCCCATAATGTTTCTAAACAAAAACTCCATTCGCATATTTTTAGAATTACAATGAGAACCCCAAAATCATGCCAACTTCTGACAGTAGTTGTAAAAACCAGCTACGACTGTACCATAGTAGTATTAAGTAAGTATCTACACGAAGTAGTGTGCCCAGGTGGCCAGGATGACCAACAGCGTCCTGGCCTGTATCAGAAATCGTGTGGCCAGCAGGAGTAGGGAAGTGATTGTGCCCCTGTACTCGGCACTGGTGAGGCCGCACCTTGAATCCTGTGTTCAGTTTTGGGCCCCTCACTACAAGAAGGATGCTGAGGTGCTGGAGCGTGTCCAGAGAAGGGCAACGAAGCTGGTGAGGGGTCTGGAGCACAAGTCTTATGGGGAGCGGCTGAGGGAACTGGGGTTGTTCAGTCTGGAGAAGAGGAGGCTGAGGGGAGACCTTCTCGCTCTCTACAACTACCTGAAAGGAGGTTGTAATGAGGTGGGTGTCTTGTCTCTTCTCCCAAGTAACTAGTGACAGGACAAGAGGAAAGAGCCTCAAGTTGCACCATGGAGGTTTAGATTGGGTATTAGGAAGAATTTCTTCACCTAAAGGGTGGTCAAGCATTGGGACAGGCTGCCCAGGGCAGTGGTTGAGTCGCCATCCCTGGAGGTATTTAAAAGACGTGTAGATGTGGCACTTGGAGACATGGTTTAGTGGTGGACTTGGTAGTTTTAGGTTTACAGTTGGACTCGATGATCTTAAGGGTCTTTTCCTACCTAAATTATTCTATGATTCTAACCTCTCCCTCTCCTAGTAAATAACAACCTTCATCAGCAGAACATCCACAGGTAACTCTTTGTATTATCTTGGTATCAAATTAGCTCTTTCAGACATTTATTCTGTTAAGTACTAAACCAGCAGAGTGGGAATCTTTAGGAGAAACAAAGTGCTGCAGGTAAGTGGAGGACTACCAAGAGTACGCCAGGACCAGAAACAGTAATAGATACATATACTGCGCACGAGGCACGCTTTCCAGGAGCAGAAGATTTCTGGTAACAAACAGCCAAGAACTGAAGAAGTATTCTCACAAGTTTTCATTAGCATTCATCTACCTTTGCTTGCAGTAACACAACACAAACTTTCTTCAGAGAAGCCACCACTCTGATCACATCATCAGCTCTTGCCACACCCTACAGCATTTGTATCAGCAATTTTCACAAAACAGAAGGGATTTCAAGCTACTTGTGCTAAGTATTTCCCCACATACCAGACTTGCAGCACTGCTGCCAACCAGCCTCTCGCACAGCAGCAGCAGCAAACACGGCATTCGAGAGGACCTGCCATAAACTAGAGCTAACACCGTGTCCGTTTAAACTTACCAGAACAGAAGAAAGCCGGGGCTGTCACATAAAAACAATGCTGTTCATAAACACAGCCTCTGAATTTTGAGGAAATAGAGGACTCTGCTCCCTCTTTTCAGGAATATTCTGTAAATAACAGCTAGCTGAGGCCCAGCTGCAGGTTAATGCCTGGCACCTGTTGGTTAACCACTGTTCAGGCAAATCAACCCAACACAGGTGCTACCCTGAATAGCCAAATACATACCAGAATAGTTGGAAATTTAACCCTTTTTGCCACTTCATCACAAACAGCATGATGTGGGCTAGTTTAGCCAAAGCTGAGATGCCAAGAGCAAGCCTGGCCCCCCTAGTGCAGTGCCCGAGGGATGTCTGGTTACCCGCGTAAGGAGGGGTATGTCCTACTCACCGAAGCCACCAGCAAAGCAGTCCAGAATGGAGATGTCTTGTCTTCACAGCCTTGCTCACGGAGCAGAAGGTGAAGATTTCCTTTTGCACAGAAGGGCTGCAGCACTCTGAACATGCAGAACACCGCGCCGCACCGCTGCTGCTGCTTCCCCGAGAAGTACTTGGTACCGTCGCACAGCTGCCCATCGGCGTGCACTGGCTGGGTTCAGCTCAGGATGGCACACGCAGTACAGTCACACTTTTGGTTTGGGAAAGAATCTCATGATCAACAGGGCCCTTTCTAAAACCAGAAATCTACCAAATCAACTCCCCATGAACTATTTTGGCTCTAAGATCACAGACTATTACACCTACTAACAACAAAGTGTTTCCTGACTCAGCAGGGGATCATAAAGAGAACACTTTCAGGATTTCCATTTGGCAAAAAAGAGCTTGCTTAGTTTGCGTTTTTTTTTCCCCTCAATCTAGCCTAGGAAACCCACCTCCTGGCTTGAGAAAAATGCAAATCGCACTTCAAGAGGATACCAACTACCCCTCAAATTCTTCTGATACAACAGTATGAATGTTGTTGAACTGAAGGAATTTTGAAGTACAAGTTCTGCCTAACAAATGTTACTTCTCAATACACTGGGCACTTAACACAGACATGACAACTAGAGCCTTCGCTTAATCAGATCATTCTTCTGAACCATAAAAATGTAACTCTATCGATACCACCGTAATCACATCAATATGAAAATGTAGAAAGCACAGAAAACTTAGTCACCATTGCATAAACACCAAGAGTACTTTAAATGCATTAGCCATAGCATCTGTTTCTTCTATTGTGAATATATATTGAACCACAAGAACCCAGTACTCCACTGAAGCTCTCAATTACAAATGTAATTTTATTTAATTTCTTCACTCAAACTGAATTTTCTCATTCCAAATCTTTACTGAAAGAGATAGTAGTTAAATGTTTAGAAAAACAGGAACTGCTCTAGTAGGCAGCTAGAGAAATGTATGTATCAATACAGATATGGAATGTAAATTTCAACTCATATAGATCACAACATACAAAGAAGATTTTTTGCAATACAGACTTACAAAACAATAACAGTTCTTTTCACAAATATTTTCACAGTTCTGCACAGCAATCTTGTAGAAAAGTAGATTTGTGCAACACCAGAATAACTTATTGTTCCTTAGTATAAATTATTTTTCATTTTCTAGAAGAAAGAGGTAATTTAATATGATTGGGCAGGATCTGACTGGATTTGGCAATAGCAAAATATAAAAGATATTGTTGCTATACGCCAAAAAGGATTACGGCATGTCCTACAGTATTGCAGCAGTTAGTTCTAGGAAAAAAAGAAAAAGTCGCCTGCAAGTCTAGTGCTTCTGCTGCTGTAGAGAGGCTGCGCACCAGCAAACACCTGCCTTTTCAGTGCTTTCCGACCAGCAGAGGTGTGCTCTGGTACCTGCACCTATTAAAAACTACCTGCCTCTGTGGGCTCCTAATTTGAGTTTAAAGTCTTCAAGTAGCCTTTCTGATTTTGAGGAACAATCCACATTTTGGTGTGCTTTGAGGGAGATGCCAGGTAGAAACTAGAAGGATTCACGCTTGATGCAACACAAACTCCATTCCTGATTTCTCTCTCTTAACTGCACAAAACATACAACTAAAAAAGATCTAATTGTCTAGGCCTAGAAACATGCTTGAATAGCAACATTGATGGAAACGATTTGCAAAGTTTAAAATTACATTAACCATAATTTAAATATTACCATTGATTCCCAGAAGCTTCAGTGCTGATGTAGTACAACCATTTGGAAAAGTACGAGACAAAATGTGGTACAGAAAGCACAGATTAAAATTTCCCAAACATTGTAATTAATTTCCATTACGTTAAAATCATATATTCCTCAAGGTTATAGATAAAGCTTCAGATGGAAAAATCTGGTTCTTCATAATATAGCTAGAATGTGAGTTTTAACCATCTTTACGTTAGGTTTCTTTTACATACAGGGATCAAAATAGACTTCTCATTATGACTAAAAATATAGATTTTTAACTACAGAACCCATTTTTCTGCTTCTTTGCCCTTCCCCCAAAAAAGTCAAGCAAGGTCTACAAAAATAGCAATTAACTTTAAAAAATAGGTTGCTTCTTCCAGCAAATTTAAGTTACATTCAGATGTACTACAGCTATTAATAAGGAACGATGAGGTGGCAAGATGCCAAGAGAGGCATGCTGTGTTCAGTTTCCTTCTGACAACAGCTGCCCGCATCCGTGCTAATCCTGCTCTCTGCGAAGATCAGTATCTGGTTTGATACTCGTGGTGCCAACGATTGAAATCATTGTAGAAAACCACTATGCTCCCAGATGCCATGCCAGTCATTATACACCTAAGGAAAGCACAAGACCGTATTCGTTAGTGAACCACCTCGCGTTCAGATATACGAGTCAACACACCAAAGAGTTACATCTATACAGGCACGAGAACCCGAGGCAATGACCAACTTCCACCGACGACAGCTGGAGCTGGAAGTGTTCCATGTGCCAGGAAAGTCAGGCTCCAGGGGCTCCCATCTTGGGCTTCCAAGGACTCCAGCAAGGTGGATTTGAATAAAACTGCCATCTGCACCAGCTCTGACAGATTTATGGATCATGAAACATACAAAACACGATGCAACAGTCTGTATGGTCAGCCTGAAGCTAAATGGAGAGTTAGACAACAGAATTGTTCACCAACATCACTGTCCTGCAAGGCCACTTCAGATACTTCATATACACTGGGATTATTTTTTGCCTTGCTTGCGTGGGTTTTGAGGGGTATTGGAGTGGGATGAAGCCCTGGTGAAGCAGTAAAGTGAAGGAAAGCTAGGAGAAGTCTTCATTTCAGTTTCACCTCCATTTAAGCACAGGATCTACATGAAGGAATCTGATGTGGGCACAGGACTTCATTTGGAAACGTTAGTGTTTGGGTTTGAAAGCAATCTGACAGCTTTGATTGTTTTGGAAGTTCCTGAAAGCACTCACTGTGCTTTCCCACTGAGGGACTCTTTCTAAATTCCTTACGCTTGGCCTACTACTAGAGATAATTTAGGTCTGTTTGAAAAGCCATGACCCTGACATCACACACAATTACAAGAGTTTCTATACCATCTTCTCTACTGTCTCATATTGAAGTTTTGTGAAAATGAAAAGTATGAGGACGTATAGAATTCTGGCACTTTAGGAAAAAAGCCTCAGAGCTAAAAAGAAATATTCAGAGTAAAAAGCTGTAATTCTTCCTTCAGAACAAAGACAAAATATGAGATCATTAAAATATTACATTTTGATAGTATCATACTATTTAATTTCAAGAGCACCACTTTCTTTTGGTATTAGGTTAAAACGTCTTTTCACACAGTGTCACTCAAACACATACATTCATGCATACTAAATAAATTAGTCTGTGTAATTACCTGTAATTATTCAGTAATTACTCAGTAAAATACTCTGAGTAAATCTCTTCTGAGTTCCTGTTCACTTTGGGTTTGAAGACACAGGTTCCTAACTTGAGCACATGGATAAATTTATAGATGTCCATATTAAATTTCAGTTTATTGACATGCCAAGATATGTTGACTAATTACAGTTAAAGATCCTCTAAATGCAAAATTTTATATATTTCAGAGGTCTAAAATTCAATAACTCCAGCTTTTAAAATATTTTTAATGGCAGGGGCTTTTTAATGGAAAACTTTTTTTTTTTCCAAAAGAAGTTTGAACATTTGACTGAAGTCCACAGATTTTGCTAGATTGGATTTTTTAAGTTCATTTTATGTAAGTTTTAGTAATGTAGTCCAGGTAAAAATGTTAAAACATTATGGACTTCAGCAACTGGAAGGTTAAGAGTCCCAGCAATATGCTTTACCACACAATGCAGACATTCCTATGGAATTTAGGAGCTAAATGTGCTTGAAAAGTACACAGGAACCCCACTATAGCAATTCATCAAAGCAAACAAAATTCTAGGCGCCCACCCCCCCCGCCCCAAGCTAAAAGTGTACAAATGACACAGCAATCATCCATCTTATAAACAAACAATACTTTTGTGATAAAAACACAGAAGGACTTTTAAGCACAGCTGCGTTGGAAAGTGTAATGTAAAAATGCAGTAAAACTATTAACTGCTTGCCTTCAGTAGAAGGAATCTTCAAGGAGGGTCATGCTTTATGTGGATAAAACTCTTCTAGAAATGAAAATAAATATTTGCTTTAGCAAAATACGGATGTGTAGAGGGAATCTTACTGTGCAACTATTCTAACTTCTATTTTTAACATAAAGGTTTGGAATTAGGAATGGGATTTGTACCGTAAGTGAAAGAAGAAATATGAAAAGCACATATGTAACCTTCCACCTCCATGTGACCCATACTGTACATTGGCACAGGCCGATAACTCAACCTATCTCGAAGGTCTCCCAAAGTAAGATTTCTTGAATCAGTCTTCATTTCCCCAAGAGCTGAAATCCTGGAAAAGATTATCAGCCCTAAATATGACATGTTAGAAACAAACTTGTGCAAGTGCAGAATACTCCTCACCAGGATGTGTGATCCACAGAAAATCAAAATCAGAAGTAAAACAAAAGTGCAATTTAATTTTAAGTATATATTCTTTCAAATTCTTGTGAAGACCAGACTTTGCTCTAACCTTTGGTCATACGACAGGGCCATGGATCGGATTCCAGCATCACACCCTGGGTAAGCAAAAAGCTGCTTGAGGTCCCACATCTGCCATACCATGACAACTCCGTTGTCTCCACCTGTAAGCAGATACTGTCCATCTCGACTCAGCTGAATTGCCTAAGGGGAAATCACATGGATATTTGTCAGACAAACGCATTGCTCTTACTCCTCCTCTTTTACTTACATAAAAAGTTTCATATTGACAGCTGAATGTCTAGGGAGGCTTGATATCAATACAAACACCATTACTGTTATGTTACTCTACCCAGCAACAGAATTAATGTTATTATGCACAAATCTCTTTAATACATTAGATGTCACTAGTTAAGTTTTCCTTCACCTGTGATTTATTCCATATTCCACAGATCTAATATGAGGTCAGCTAAAGAAATTTACTCTTCTAATTAGCTAGATTTACACAATCCAGCAGCACTGGCATTAAAATATAGTACCTGACATTCCCTGAAGGGTCTTTAATACTAGCCTAGCAGAAGCTATCCTCCTTTTCTCTCTGGCAAAAGGCTGAATGATGGAGAGAACTGAAATGTTATACAAATTACTAGAATTCATTTAGACCAGCATTTTTAGATTCCTGCTCTGGATTAATAAGATAATGATCCACCCCTCTTAACACAGACTGTGTTTCCTTTCATCATCTATCCTGAAACTGCCTGTGACAAATTCAATGCCTTATACCCTGATTTTGCATGCATCGTGGGGACAGATGGCAAATCTGCATTTGAAATCTTTAGTTGGGATCCAGATCATAGAGAAAGATGGGATATCATTAGTTTTCACAGTAAAGACTTCTTGAAACGGGAGTCTTCAATCTATTTTGATATTTCTTGTGTGCTGTTCGAAAAATCATGATACGTACTGAGTACCTGGAAGAATAGCAACTTTCCTCAGTTACCTGATGACTATGCCAGATGATACTATCAGATATTAAGATGACTGGAAGCATGAGAAATATTTCTTAAAGAGGGATTTTGCCCGTTTAAATAAGCCAATACGTGGTTTAAGAGAACTGAACTTGAAATGTTATTAAAATAAGTGATACCCTATGGGGTCAGACAGACCATGATCCATCTAGCCCAGTGTAGTATCACCAACAGGGGCAGCAGGAGATTCTGTGAGGCTGGCCACTCTACAGACCCTTCCCCTTGTGCTCCCCAGCATCCACAATCACTGGGACAGGAATATCAAAAAGCATATCTCTGTCCATTCCCTTTAACGTTTATTGATGTACATGCTGCCCATGAATTTTCTTAATCTGCTTATAAGCCTGCTGATGCCTTCTGTGGGAGAAAAAAAATAATAAAATAAAAAATTGTCAGAAGTTCATTACAGTGCACAATTTTTTATCTGTTTTGAAGTGATCCTATAGTTTCAATAAGTACGCTTAGGTCTTATATTGTGGGGTTTCCTGAATAACAGTTCTGCATTCATCTCATCCATTGCCTTCATCACTCTACAGACCTTCAGCATTCCCCACCTCAGAAAACACTGAATAAAACTAGCTCCCAACACCAACCCCTGGAAGACTCCATTACTGACTTGAACTGATCTTAGCATTTGTCATGGTTTAACCCCAGTCGGTAGCTAAGATCTTACACATCTTTTCAATACTGGTCTTAGCAATTACTACTACTACTTGAGTAACCCTGAAGAGTACAAAACTTCTCCTGAAAGGAAGACCCTGTCCTGCTGTCATGCAGAAAAGAAACTTAAGCAGTAGAGGATACCAGGCCCTGATTTTATAGCCTCATCCTCCAACTACCTGGGAAAACTGAAAGATTTGGAAGGTTTTCAAAAAAAACAAAACCAAGAGGTTGAATGACTTCTGCCACGTGGAATGACATCAGCAACAAGATCAAGACCCTTAGAACTACAGTTTGGACCATTATTAACTCCTGTAAGCCCAAAGCTTTTCCTCTGATCTCCTCCTGTTTACAGATGTTTCTTCTCAGTTCTTTCTGACTTTTGCTCCCCAGCTTGACTCCTGTTTTTTCCCCTCTCCGCGCTCTACTTTTATTTTCGTACGCAATACTTGGCCCAGCAGTAACCTATCCTCCTCTTCATTTGAGCAAATGGAATGGTAAGAAACAACTTTGCTAGTTGTTGGCTGTATGATTTGCTGTTATCAGAAGGAAAATAAGGAACTTTGCTACTATGAAGCACTATTATCTAGTGTAAACTCTTGATCCTACCTAATCCTTCACTCCTTTGCTCCTACTTCCAATTCGTATTTTTCCTTCACTCCTTTCTGCCTCTTACCTTCTCCCAGTCTGACAAGTTTCTGCATTCCCATCTCTACTTCTCTGAGGCTCCTGTTGCTCTTGCAAGCATCTCTTTCATTCTGTCCTTGGTTCTCTCCATGCTCCTCTGCTTCCCCATCAGTCCTTCCCCCTCCTTGTCCAGGATCACCTCATCTCATTTCTTGCTATGGCAATTTTTGTGCACCTCACTGTAGGGGATGATTGGTTGCAGGGGAAAACTCCGCATCCCTGGACTACAGATGTTGATTACAGAATGTAAATGCTATGCATCATCTACTGAATGTATTTAACCTGAGACTGTGATTCAGCTAAATTTGGGCAGCTCTTCAACAAAATACACATCCTTCACAGCAGGACTAATTAATGATAAATTTCAGCTTCCAGACCTAAGGCAAGAAGCCACAAAACTTTTCAGTGGAATAATGTAAGAACAGAGGATATTCAGAACAATGGCTTTTAAATTCCAAACATACACGTTCTGCAAATAGATTGATCCACTTTAACTAAAAGATTGTCACTGGAAGGCAAGGAAATTGCCTCAAGATCATAGTCTACAAGCAAAATTCCAGCTCAAAGATTTAAATTTAGGAAACAGTAGTAAGACCTGAAGACAGGATGTTGCCAACATACCTCTCTCTGCTGAAGTCTGCAAGTATTTTGGCACTTGCAAATCTCTCATTCTACAGTTTTTCAACATGCAACACTTGTAATATACTGTGATATTGAATTCTTCAGGAAAAAGAAGTTGTTTTTTTTAATATACAGAATTTATAGTGCATGCACCACAAAAAAGAGGGAAATTAAAACGCAAAAATGTTACATTCATGCAACATTGAAGTGTTTATACAGACTGCTGACAAGCCTAGAAACCAAAATATACAGTGTACGTAAGATACTGGTTCGTGAACACCAATAATTGAAGTCAGACATATTGCACAGCTGTATTTTTTGTACCGCTGTACTCTATTACTACGATGCCAAATATATCCTTTAAGAATTATATGATGTGTAACACTTACATTAAGATAGTTTCTATATTATATTATAAATTGAGTGTTTACTGCAACAACTCCCAAGTAATCAGAATAAATCACATTGCTAAAATTTTATTTCACACAGTAACTTTAAAATGAATGTAACTGAAACACAAACATATACTGTAAACAAAATATTATAACACTGAAAAAAACCAGATGATAAACCTATTCCAGCTGTGTTTTGAATTAAGATGACAACACATACATGTAAATTTAGATACAACAAAGCAGAATATACAGAGGTTTTTTCCAACCATATTTAAGTATGGAACATTGAATACTAACCAAGGCCGGAGTTGAACATTCTGAGCTGAAGCTTCTCCCACTCAAAAAACAAATGTTCCAACCATAAATTGCTTCTGTGATTGTTTCTACCAGCCTACAAAAAAATGCTAAGCATGTCCCAAGGCACAGCCCCAAGAAGCTTGAAAACTCATTTAGAGGCTCTCTTAGAAGAACACAGTAAACTCAGTAGGAAAGGGGTAGAAAACAGAGATAAGACTGTGAACATTATCTAGAACTTGCACGCACTGAGTAGATGATCATGAGAACTAACATACCACACACAATTATTAAAAAGATTATTCATTAGAAGCAAAAATCAATACGAGGTGGTTTTCTTCTCTATAGCAATGGCAATCTCCTAAGGGTATTTTCAAATTGCAATGAAGACCGTGACAAATAATTATTTGCTACACTTATAAAATTCAGCTGATGAAAATCCATTAACCTTATGGTCATGGTTCACTTGAATTTTATACTTGAAGCTTTTACTGAAGAAATGCTATATTAAAAGGCAAATTAAAGCCATTAATCTTTAACTCTTCCACTACCTGCAAAATGCAGTGGGTTTTGTGATCTTTTGATTAAATAAAGTGTAGGCTTTGAACCCTTACTAATACCTATGCAATTTTACTAAGTCACTGGCTTGTCATGAAGACAAGATGTTGATTTATTTATTTTTATTGTTAATTAATACATTTCTCAGCCACTTGCACACATACACACACACACACACATATATATATATGAATGAAGGAATGAATGGAAGAAAAAGGTCACCCTGTCAACATTTCAGTTTCATGACATGCCCTTCAAGATTTAACAAACGAAAGGATGCTTTTACTCCCAAGTACTCCAATTGGTGTAGAAGGCAACATGAATCAATTTTACTGTTCTGCTTTTCCCCAGCGTAGTTTATCTACGATTCTGCTAGGTACGAAACTGAAACAACTCTGCAACTAATCTTTCCCACAACGTGAGCTTCAGACTCTTAAATAATCCCCAAAGTGCACAATTTCAGCAATGTTCTAAAAGCTGCATTTCTGACTTGCATTTCCTTGTAAAGTCTCAAAACTTTGCACGAATCCTTTTTAACATCTCAGATTTTTGAAAGGCAGTGCTTTGTAAAAAGGCAGAGCTGACACTGTGACAGCCCTGGCTTACAGCAGCAGAAGTCTTGTGGGCACTTCCACATTTCAAAACAGACTCAGGAAAGGAAAATAAATTGGTTCCTCTGGGTGAAACAGCATACAGTCTTTGTTTAGGGTAAAATAACTTTACTTCTCTGAACAAGCACACTATTTAGAGTTAAGTTATTCATTAAGATATCTAAACATTACATGGTAGATGTACTGCGATATGCCTAAGCTCCACTGAGCAATACAGTATTTAAAACAAAAACAGGTGGAAGGCATTGATTAGACTTTGAATTTCCCCAGAGCATCTGAAATTTTTCCAGCAGTTTTCTAGCACAAGAATACAAGAAAGAAAACCAGAATGTTGTTCTGAACACCACTATTGAAAACTGCTAGTTTTGTCAATAACGTTCTGAAATACTGGTCCATAATGACATAGGAAAATAGAAACTGGAATGTTACGTTACAGATTCAACACTTACGACCTTTTCCTTCCCTTTTCTATCCTCCTCGAGCAAAAGCCAATGAAAAGTGTTTGTCAGCACAGCCCATGGGAAGGTACCATTCATTTTAAATGGCCCTACTTTAATCATGCAGTTGCCACTTGCCTTCTAACATGATATAGTGCAGAAGCACTGGGAAAGACACTGTAGGTTGTTTAAGCGTAAAGCCCAGCTGGGACCACTGGGAGAGAAAGAAAAGAAAACAAAACAAAAACAAAACCCAAACCCCTGTACATATGTAATTCTGGCCAACAGTGAGTGGAACTTCCATTGCCTCTAGCAACATTCCTAAAGCTGTGGGTACTGACTGAAACACTACAGAAATTGTTTTAGCCAGCAAGGGATTTCTAGGTATTTTACAGATTTGCTGGCCTAGCTGACAACATAATCACAACTGAAAGTGACAGATTATCAACATTATTATTCTAAAAAGAGAAAACACAGTGATACCTACTTACTTTATGGAAAGAACTGGGATGAAGGGTAGGCTGAAAATCTCAAAAGCATTTGTACAAGGACAGCCAAAGGTACAATTTCACAGAATTTAAGAAAGATTAAAAATTGAAGCAAGAATCTACATTAATTTGGAAAAATGACTTGGGACAGAAATATACACATTCCTACTTTATTTCCCCAGCCTCAAATCTGCACTTGTGGCTGCCACAGCATCCAAAAATCAAATGCCCTCTCACCCCTGCAGAGAGCACTCTCACTACGGAAGAGAGACCTACACAGAGAGTTATTTCTGCATATTCCACTACCAACGATTTTTCCATTTTAAAATAGGGATGCTGGATAAAGAGAGTATTGTACATGACAGAGTTTTACAAAGTTTTAAGTGGAATACCCTGAACTACACTGGAGTCTTCAGTGGTAATGGAGCGTTCACTGTTCAATGTAAGTTCTAAAATGGAAATACTGAAGATGAAAATTCTTTTAAATGTATCGACACATTCTTCCATCCTTCAAATTAATATGTATAGAGTCAAGAGAAGACCAGGTGCTAATTTAAAAATGCTTACAGTTTCAATAATTCTGTAACATGAACATCAGGGCAAAGAGGCATTTTCTTCCTGAAACACCTAATCCAAATAAAGGAGAAACTTTTGAGAGTTTTCAACTCAAGAGAACATTGGAAATCCCAGCAGCTGAGTTGCTAGGCTCTTTCATGAGATTTTGAAAGTCAGCTTGGAGATGAGTACTGCTATATGCTCACAACAACAAAAGTCTCTTGCTGCTGTTAAATAGTTTTATATAGGAAACACCTCTTTACTGTAAGGGTGACCAAGCACTGGCTAAGGTTGCCCAGAGAGGCTGCAGAATCTCCATCCCTGGAGATATTCAAAAGCCATCTGGACATGGTCCTGGGCAACTGCCAGGGTGGCTGGATCAGATGATCGACAAAGGTCCCTTCCAATCTCAATCATTCTGTGATTCTGTGCCCCTCAGACCACAACTACTGGCATAGAGACCATAACTTCAGATAATTCAGTCTGAATGCTGACCCAGCAATCTGATCTTGCTTCATGTCTCTGCTGCATTCTTTAACATTCTACTATATTTGGTACTGTTAGTTCATTTTTTTCCCCTTACCTTTCCTTTCTTTCTCATTCAAGGAAAAAGTGGGAATATTTTTAACTCAAGGAAAGTATTCTTCTGACATTTCTGCTTCATTGCAGTATAGTTGTCAGGTTGCGCTCTGCTTCATAGGTAGTATTTCATAGAAACTGTCAGAAGACCTGCATTTTGTATTATCAAATAATTTCCATAAAACCGTAAGCTTAAAATGCCTCCTGCATAGTTTTGGATGTGCTCCATGTCTCTTGCAGCTAAAGATGTGGAACCTAGCTGCCTGCTCAGCAAATGCCAAAGGGCTAAAGGGTTGAAATATAGACATACACCTATAAACTTCCTGAAGCTCAGCACAACACACGTTACCTCAAGGTAAGATGAAAGAATATAGACAGATATGCCAAAAAAGGGAAAGTCAATATCCAAACCAGCACGTCCAACAACCTCCTGCCTTTACACTCAAAAGTAGAGAAGTAGCCCGGCTTCTCCTGGTCAGCAATTAGCAATATTTCTATTGTTCAGTTCAAGGAAATGCCTACAGGATATTCCATGCTATATGAACAGAGTTATTCTAAAATTAAAACCAGTACTATTAGGAGTACATGGTCCGCTTAACTACAATTTTTTCGGAATCCTGCTTTTACTGTCTAGTACCATGTATATGGCCTGGCTATAGGATGAGTCTCAACACAACTCCAGCATTGATAGCTTTTGCTGATATTGGAACTGTTAGTCCTTAGCACACATTTGAGTACACTCACCTTTATCTTGTCATCTGTTTCCATAGTAGCTTGAAGTCTCCCATTCACACTGAATACACAGAAGAGGCCGTTTTCATAATATATGACACAGTGGCCTTCTCTTGAAGCTTGAATAAGTTTTGGTCTCAGGCAGTTTTCAGGACCTTCTAATGTTTCAGGGCCTTCTAATGTCCTCAGTAGATCTCCATTCATAGAATGTATGAGACATGGTCCTTCTAAAAAGACAAAATAAAATCTCTACTTATTGATTTACATGCTTATTTAAAAACATCATATACCAAATAATAAGTGAAGATGTCTACTTAGGTAATCACTATTATAATACATTATAATGATTTTTACCATGTTTAAGTGGAAAGCCTAATGACTTTAAGGGTGCCAGAGAGTAAAATGAACAGGTCATTACTCAAGAGCTTTGTATTAAGGTATTTTAGAGCACTATCAAAACTAGTTGGAGACCTAACAGATTTTCTTTTGTGGATTTTCTTTTAAAACTGGTAGTAGTTACTTTTGAGAGCACAAAAAATACTTAATCCTAAAATGAGATTTTCAAAATATGAAGATACACAGAGGCAAGTGTAATGAATTTACATACGTAGGTACTCTGAAAGTGTATGTTCTCATATGAAGATTTTAACCCATACATGATCCTCTAAATATTTTTTTTAAATATATTTGGACAAATACCTGATTTGCATGTAAGCCACAAGCATTCACACGCATAAAACACACACACACAGGTGCATATGATGAGTACACCCAACTTTGAAAGTGTCTCAAAGTAGGTACTTCGGAAACACTGAAGCAGAAAGATCGCAATTCTAAGAAATTTCCAATTTAAAAATAAGTATGGACCGGCAAATAAAAAAATGATAAACAATACCCATGGAATCAACACCATTCTTTATAATTTGCCTGCCAAAAGCAGGTCTTTGAGAACACAAATGGGACATATTACAGGCTTTGTAGCTAAGCTCGAAGAGCCTGAACAGAATTACTGCAAGTTTTAGTTGGTAGTTTATATATACCCTTCATCAAACACACAAGACAGCACCTTCTCTTTCCCCTGAAACTAATTTTTGCTCCCTTTCTGAGAAGTTATCTATAACAAACATTTTTCACCGTCCTGGCAATCAAGAGCTGCATCCAGTTGTATGCTATATGCAATTACTCACTGGATAAATAAACAAAAAGAAATAGGCATCAGGCTTATAGGAAAACTGACGTTGAAACTGATGTGGAAACTAGTTGCCTCTTCTTGTAAATGTCCAAATAATCCTCAGTTTTAATATGTTTAAAAAGAGGTTTCAAATTCCATAGCAACTAAAACAAGGTTAGAAATAAAACCATCATAAAGTTAATAAATTCTGCCACCTGAGACCATATTCCTTTTTGCATTAGGGTTATAGCTTCATGAACAGAAAGAAATGACAACAGCTACCCTACCTTTTGAACCACTTATTACCAGGCCAAGTTCAGCACAAATGGTAGCACAGGTGATCTCATAGTCATGTCCTGTCAGAATAGCCCGAGGAGTTGCAAAATCACCTTCAATGAAAAAACAATAAAAGCAATCGTTGGTTACAATCTATTTCTAAAATCACTGCTTTCAATCACTGAAGCATCTTCAGTTGCCTTGCTCTTTGAGTTCATGTTCCCTACAAATCACTTCTATGCCACTGTTTGCATACGGTTGTTCTGTACACATATCTACATAGTACAGCAGCAGTATACTATAGGAATTCAGCCTGTGCATTTACTATCACACATTAATATCAAAGTCAGGTGTGTAGCAAAAACAAATAGAAGCTGGAGCACACAGATTTGCTTTTTCCCCTCCCTCCATCTCCTCCTCTGGTTTTCTTTTGTGGAAGCCGCAATCTAAATCAATTGCCACCTTTTCCTATAACAGGCATAAGTAAACGCAAGTGTCACAATGACGGTGCTGAGAGGAGACACGGACAGTGCCCAAAGATGAAGTAAAACATACATTGACTGGTTTTATTTTAACCTAGTAACAGTGTTGAAACCTCAGCCTGATGTCTAGTTCCTTGTAAGGTATGAAGCTTGAACCATAATTAATATGAATTTCAGATGAGTTTGCAAAATCAAACCACCCAAACCCAACATTAGATATATCCCTGCAACAAGAACAAATAAAACTAAATTTTTGAGATTCTCTTTGTAAACCAAACATACACGAATACCATAAAGAAAATGTACAACTGGCATGTTTAAAAGGAAAAAAAAAAAAATTATTCTGCAGGTCAAGATACAGAAAGGGTAAGCAAATGCCGTAACGTTCTTTAAATAGTTTTATAACTTCACTCACAGGTCATTCACTGGATCACCCTCTTCAGGAGTGCTAGCATTTCATGGAAATCACATTGGTTTTGTATTACCATATAATTAGTTCATTCAAAGCATCTTACAAAGCATTTAAACTCTAAAGACTGTATCTTGGGCAATGTTATCATGTAGTTTCAAAAAGGATTAGACAAGTTTTTAAGCAGCAGGGAATTATTTCACTTCACAGTAAATGATGATATGTGCGATACCAACAAGGCAGTAAAGCAGTGGTAAAAATCAAACTTTTTTACTTGAAAAGCAGAAGATGGATTTGCAAAGAAACAAAGTAATAATAGGGCTAATTGACTCCATTTGTTACTAAGGTAGCATCATTCCAATTATAGTTGGGGTTGTAACTTTTCAAAAAATAGAAATAGCATAATGTCCTTAGTTCGTCCATGTAGAGCCTTAACAGTGCTAGCATACTGGTGCTGGTCTTATTAGAAATTATGGAAATATTAAAGCAGGTAGCTACTCAGACCCTGCACGTGTACAGCGAGAGACTTCTGTGGAAAAGAAGTGTAGATCTGGGCTTGCAGAAATAAAAGTTTATCTTACTCTCAATATTTTACATTATTACTGAGACTGTTTGCAACACCTCCCAGACCGTCCATGTAGCTGCCACATTCAAATGGCTTTTCAGAAAAGGTCACAATCTATGACAAAGTATCAAATTGAAGATTTTGACCTTTCAAAGTTTGATTTATTCTGCAGTTACTGTTATAATCTATAATTTATATCCACAATAAAAAATTTCAAAAAGTAAATAAATCTGTTTCTTCTTAGACATATACGCTAGATACATACATGTATGTGCATATATACACACACGTGCACGTATGTTATCAGCATTTTAAATCTGAAAATGCTTTGGAGCAACTTTTTGTCCCTAATCTCTTAATAAATAATCATTAAAAGCTATTGCTTGTGTTTTGTATAATGTTTGGCAAAACACACTCAAACCCAGGAAGTATGGCAGACAGTTCAGAGGCAAAGGAAAAACTCCCAACAAATTAGAAGCATAAGGGTAGACTTAATGACCTCTAGGTACTTCTCAGGTAGCTGATCCTGCGGACGCTCACAAACCTTTTAGAGAAAGTTTTCTCTATTGAACTTTCCTCACCTAAATGCAGAGCAGGCACCTTAGAAGACTCATAAAAGAACTTTGTGCAGACAAGCCACAAATTTGCAGTGTTAGGGGAAAATGTAACAGTAACCGTAACAGTCATTATCCAGTTAGAATTTAATTTTGTTCACTGAATTTTTTCCCACTGTTGTCCCTGAGCCATGAAACAAGAGGCAGCTTTATGCATTTAAAGCTCTTGTTAATTTGTTTTCTTTTAAATGAGCTGCCTCCATTAGCAAAATTCTAGAATTCTGGTTTCATTTTGCTTTATTTTGCTTTCAAGAATTGCATTTAACACATACTTGCATAGATCAGCAAGGAATTAATCTAATTATATACTACATATCTTAATGAAAGTTTTGAAGTCAGAGAAGTTTTAAATGTACAACACTGTAGTGGAGGTAATGAATATAAGATGTTGGAGTTTGAAGACTTATTAGAAGCAATGTCCAAATGAATTACTAGTAGGTGCAGATAAACAAAATCTTCATAGTAAACTTACTGCTTACAGCAATTATATTACTGTAGGCTTTACCTGTGTTAGACTGTCAGTAACTATATACATAAAATGTAGGAGATACGATTCTTAAAATAAGAAGTAGAAAAAAACCGAGCATATATATTTATCACAGTCCACAGAAAAGTAAAATTACATAAGTAACGCTCACAGTCTTTTTAGAATTTGGACTTCAAATATAAGAGTATAAATCTACAGGTGGCAGGATCAGTGTCTCATAAATTGTATCAGCTGTTTACTATATTACATTTGTGCTAAAGAAACACTTTAATGCAAAAAAGAAAAAGAAGAAATCTGAATAGTATCTTTAAAGAAATTAGGACTTGAATAAATACTGTAAAAGAGGAGTCCTGTGAAAAGTCAGGCTGACTCCTTTGATAAGAATGTAAAGTATTTAGGGGTTTCCAAGCCTCTGATTTTCCAAATAATGGGGTCAACTTAAAAGCTGATCGTAGAGCAGAACAGATTTCTTTAAAAGCTTTTAAACTGTTATTGCTTCAGAAGATTGTCATGGTTTTCAATAATGCAAAGAGAAAATTTTATTTTGTTGCTGGTTTAAGGGGCACCGCTTCAAACTTTTCTAAATTGTTTTAGGGGAACCGGCTTGCAGACCTTTTGAAAAGCTGGGGAAGTGACTTCAAAGGGAAGAGAGTCTTTGTCCGCTAAGCAGGTTTACGACCACTGATGCAAACCCTAACTAAGGACTGAAAAGAATACTCAGTGCATCTTTATGGAGATCCTTAAGGAAGATGAACAAGTCAAATGAGATTAAAGATAGTTCAAATCCTAGCACTAATAACCAAGACACAAGAGTTTTACAGATGTGCTTTTCTCAGCATAGTATATAATAATATCCTTAGGCTATACCATTGCTGGCTTGCTACTTGAAGTTGAATGCTGTAAGAATCTTAAAGCCACATTCACATTGCAACAAATGTCGTCAATGATTTAAGTCACAGGAGGTACACGTGAAGTTATTTTCCAGTAATGGACAGAATACTTTACCTTTACAGTAACCATTCAAATTATTTCAAAGGAACTCTCCTACATTCCAATAAATAATTTCTGCAAAGCTGTTTTCCCATAGAAAATAGCATAAAATATCACTCTTCCTTAAGTGACTAAAGTACATTTTAAATCATAAAATTCAAGCTTCAGAAGATAAAAGAGCACATGATAGCATGTCAGCTTATAGCGATATTTCAGTGAAAAAATGTTAGGTGTTTGGAAACTACGTTTAAAAAGGAACAGCGGGATTATAGTAAAGTCAAAACTTTCTTCTAGTTTAATGACATCCAGAAGAAGGTACGTCTTACTGGATAACAATTGGTTTGTATTGCTGCGTTTTTCTCTGCTATTTTTTCAGGTTTGGTGATGTTACAAAACAAAACAAGATCACGACATTTTAAATCCATCAGTAAATTCCTAAAAAGACCACTTTTTTTATTTTCAGCACTAAGCTCTAAGAGCTGAGCGAAACACAGGAAATCATTTAAAGAAAAATCTCTTCCTAAAAAGAAATCAAACTAGAGATCGACTGAAAAAAAAACTTCTCACAATGAAATATGAGATAGACTTCCTACTATTTCTGGGTGAGATGCAACACATGAAAATATAAAACATTTGAGTATGCTCCTTTTTATATTTTATGCTGAGAAGACAGTTAATTATGATAAGTCACAGACAGCCAAACAGTCATTTCTAAATTATTATTCTATGATTGCAGAGGCGGTAGGGCACTTTTAAATGGAAAATTAATTATGATTTTATGTTGACATAAAATCTGAATTAAATAAATCATCAGTTAGTCTAACTATGATTTTACCTACTTTTTGCAACAATAAGTGATCGAGTACTTTCTCAGAAGGATACACCAGACAAACCGAATTATATATGTAAGAAAAGTCTTCTAAAAATCATTTTACAAATTTCACAATTATGAAGTCGTTTCATATGATAAAAATTGAGGAAAACAATAAAAGGTTTGAAATCGATTTGAGAAGTACAAATGTACTTACAGATGTGTGACTTTTGGACAAAAGTGCTTTTAGCAAAATGTAAGTAAATCAAGAAAATTCATTTCCTGCTAGTATATACTTAACTGACTATATAGCAAGTTTCAGAGTTTAATTACATCACAGTGATTACTGTCACTTATTATATAAAGTCTGTATATTAACATTACTTATACATCACACACAGTGAACATTTAAATAACAGCCAACTGGTTAAAAACCCATTTTCTGGCACAGAAAAGCTAGCTCTTTGATGGGTGTGGGATCTTACTAAAGCAGTACTACACAATATTACTGAAGTATTCCTAAAACTTCAGTTTGAATAATCTTTCCTTTGTAAACATGCGTTTTTATGTAACAGTGTAATCTTTTCATATTATGTAGGAACTTCGTTGTTGTCCAGTTATTCACATGACACTCCATCAGCATTTCCTCTAATTCCTTCAAACTACTTCCCATCTGTTCAGATTTTTTTTTTTTTTTTTTTTTAACAGGAAAAAGTACAACCTTATGCCTTGATGCAAGTTTTGTTTTTGGGAAA